TTTATTATTAAAGGCATCAAATGAAATAAATTACTAAGTATGATCAATTGGTTAAGGTTCATTATTTAAGAGCCAAAGTGACTGGGTCAACAATAGTTGCCCTTAAGTAATCCTTATATATTCTAAAAATGCCTGTGCTTATATGGTGTGAGAAAGAGCAGCCCAACATTTTCAACAAGTAGATTATTTGCATAACAACCAGTCTTGCCAAAAGAACTGAATGTTTTCAAAGACTCTGCCAGTATACAAGATATAAAGATAACAAACAAAGAATTTGATAGAGTTTTCATAAATCCCCAGACATGGCACTATCTATTTCTGCATTGATAAGATAGGCAACAAATTAGTTTATTATTGATCTGGCAGACAAAACTTTCATTATTTACATCATAATTTGCAAACTGATTTATGTTCTATGAATCAAAATTATTCCAAATCATGTAACTGTGAAATTTCCGGTGCTTATCTTTAACTAGTTGAATAATGCATGAAACTAGTTATTGATAGGAATACAGTTTGTTCTGTCTGACTTGAGCTAATCAAACTTTTCAAGTTCTAAAATAGAAAGTGTGATAGTCCTATAATGGGACCATCCTTTTCTCTGTAGTTAATAAAATTTGATCACTATCAGTCTACATTTGAATTCAAAATGTAGTTAAATTAAAGGTGGGAAAACTATTATGCAATTCCCTTGTTGAATACTGACTGAAAAATAGCAATATCAAAGTTACTGAATATTGATCAAAAGAAACCAGTTCAAAAACAAATCTGTACTACAAAACTGTAATGAATTAAATGACCACTGTCAATCCATGATTTGATGTCTTAAAATTAAATTCAGTCAGCAAAAATGGTAAAAGATAGCAAATTAAAATATGACAACCAATAGTTTACATTTATTTAATGCCCATCTAAATGAAAATCAGGGATTGTTTTGCAAGATTTTGAACATAGGTCAAATCTCTCATTCTCCAGTATAGCATAGGCTAATTGATTATTTGTATGTTAGGCCATTTATAAAAATGAAATTAACAGCTGTGCCAAAAGTGCATGATATACCCTTATTATGCATATCGAAATTGTTGTAAAAATAAAATGGGATATTTAGAAGGCATTTAAGCAAATGAAATAGCTCTGTAGAAAAATATGTATGAGGATATCCTTAGACGCACATATAGTGTGTCAAATATGATTGTTGAAGTCCCACAACTCTGGAGTGACCAGTAAAAAATCTACATAAATCTGACAATTAAAGTCCTGTGACTCTGGAATAACAAACCAGAAAATTAAAAAAAATGAAAGGGAGCTATTCTTTTATCAAAATTTAAGTTATTGTAAGAAGTGTTGACGGAAGGTTTTTGGTATACCATAATTTGTCCTGTCTTCGAAGGAAGATGGACATATAATAAAAATGAAGGCCACTGCATCCATAACTATCACTCTCAATTATCTGTCTACAAGAAAATAAGTCATCAAAGGTCATGACAACCTTCACAAATTATCCATGTTAATTGCAAATGGAGAAGAAAATTGCTGTCATGCAGGCTTCATAAATGTGCCTATCAACAAAGTTTTAGTTTTTTAATGAACAGTAATGTTGCACTCAAAGGCAATGACTATAGATGTACAGAAACTGTTTCGAACTCCTAACTAAGTGTAGACATGGTGAAAAACAGTCATTTGTTATTTTTTCAGTATATTCTGTTTTAAATTAATACCATCCATTAAACATTACCAAAAATACCAATATCCTATATTTATAATGCAAGAAAACACATTACTATGACTTCCTTAAAACCCAGTAATTTAAGATACAACTGCACAGACAGTGGGTGGTAGGTAGTCAGTGAAGTGGTAGGTGAAAATATCCCATGATATCTCTTTTCAAATATAGATAATTATAACTAATGGTCTTTATTACTTTGATAGCCTATTTACAGAGTTCAATAAAAAAGATATTCATTATCAGTCTTTTGGAAAGAAAATATTATATAAAGACGACATTAATTTGATTATATCCCTTTTCACTGATATTTAAAGTTTCCTAAGTTTTTATATATACAGCACACTCTTTACAAATTAAATAAAAAAAGAAAACCTAAAAATTAAAAAATTTTACAAGTATTACAGTTGGCAATCCAGAATTTGTGGTTAGTGGGAGCGAACCCTGGAAATTTTGGTGTGTTTTATGCCTGAATCTGCCTCTGCATTAAAATATAATGCAGATGTTTATTCCACATTAGAATGTTTCCCATTTGACCATTGTAACAATTTCTTATTGTTCATAAGTCTGAAGAAATTTTCCTTTTAATTCAAATCTTGAAGATCAAAATCCCAAGCACAAAAATTGGTTCTTTAAAACTTTTTTTAAAAATTTATTTAAAAGAATTCAAATGAACAAAAAAGGCAAAGACATCACTTAAAAAAAACATTTGAAAGGCCTAGAAAATATCATTACCATGCATCAAAACTAACACACAAAAAATAAATATCTGAGAGATGTCTCAGAAAATCACAACATGTATGACAAATATCTTCAAAAAGATGTTAAAATCTAAACTTCAGCCTGCCATGTAACAAATTAATGACTATCAGTGCAGTAGCTAAATACTTTTTATGTAAATCACTTTTTAATAGCAAATAATCAAAGAAAAGTCACTTTGATATAGATATTTATATTTTTGTGATAACATCTGGATAGATAAAAAGTCATGCTTACACCTCTATTTAAGGTTAATGCTTAAAAGAATTCAACCTTGTGGCAGAAAATTAACCATATTCTTGATCTGATCATGTAAAAAGTTTTATTTTTCTACCCTTTGGGTGGCTTTAGATCATTTTCAACTTAATAAGACAATGTCTGTTTGTTGATACATGCATGAGCAATAAATAGCCAATGGTAGACAAAACCATTCATTTTACTTGCTTTTGTCAGTCACCATCACAAATATTTAATTTTTTTATTGTCCATTTGTCTTTATTAAAAAAAAAATTATCTGTTTATTAAAACCAGTTAATTATAGTTCATGATGTGTAAATTTAATATTTGCTTTTGATCTTGAAAATTTTATTAGTGACATTATACTGTTATAAAGTTTATGATTTATAACATTTTTCACTATCACTAGGCTGCCAAAAATTTGATGGGAACATCTTAATACCTAAATCTTAAATTTTGGAAGCTTTAAAATCATTTGAACCACTACACATTATATATTTCAAACATTTTAAAACCATATATATTTTCAATATTTATTTCAGGTTAAAAATGATTAAGTCAATTCAACAAAGATGAGAAGACTGATAAACTAGTTTTAAAGTTTAAATATCTACTTTTATCTTGTACATTTAAAGGGGCTGAAATGTTATCAAACTAAAAACTGCTGATCTTTCAATTTTTTTACCATAAAAATTTTTTACTTTGTTAATATAAGCAGGTAGTTCCTGCACAGTTATCTGATGAACGGTAATGGGAGATCAGAGATTTAATAAGGAATCCATTACTTTAGCTGTAGTGAATATTAGGAAGTATAACAAAAGCCCTTACAGCAAAAGCTTGAAAATACCTGCGATAAAAATGAGATGAATACTCAACTATATAGTACTAAATTAGCAAAGAAATATTGACCCCCTTTTAAGGGACCTTTCCATTTTGAGATACAACAGATTATCATTTCTTGCTTCAAAAATTTAAGAGATTTGTAGCCCTTTCAATCCCTGCATCACACATTAAATCAATATTTCAAAGACTCACTGCCTGTGACAAACTTCCATTTTGAATTTTTTAAGTACACAGTTCATGCTACTCACTGGAATTTTAAGGCTTAATTGATATGCTTTTATTTCAGCTAATCTACCATCAATTCTAAAATAACACCTTCAGCAATTAACCTTGACAAACATTTTACTAAAGATGGGTCTCAATATAGCTACCGAGGGAAAATCTAACACTTTTAAAATTAATTTTTAAGTATCAGGTTTACCCAAACTGGTCAATGCTATATCTTTTATGCTCGCCCCTGGGTATCAATTTGCTGTTGAAAATATTCATTAAATTTTAAAGTAAAATAATCCTTTAGACCAGCAATTTGAATGTGATAAATAAAGCTTTTGTTAAAAGAAGTTGCCAATAAATGGCCACTGTCCAGTTTTATTGTCAGTAATGATAGTGTTTAGTTCAGTTGTCATGTTCTGTGTCAGGGAAGAGAGTGATGTCCAAGTAAAATAATGAATCTTTTTTTAATACCACAATCTGATGACAATAAATGTCTTCAACTCAATAGCCAATACATTCTAGTCAACACATGGTTGAATAATGTCACAAAAACATCTTTTAATCTAAAGATAATGGTAACAACTATACCCATCTGCCATGTCAAATTATCTGCTCAATCTTACTATTGGAGTACATTAATTATTAAACTCAAAAGTAGAAATCTCTCTGACAAAAAATATAACTTTCTTTCATCTTGTCAAACACTCAAGATCATTTTTGTATATAAAATTGGTTTTAAAACTCAAATATGCCAACCATACAAAAAGAAGTAAATATATTTCCAGTTTATCTAAAACTGTCTGAGTACCAAAAGTTGGTTGAGGAGCAGTCGCTTGTTTTTTGCATTTGAAAGACTACATGTAGATGTGTGGAATAATTTGATTGCCTCCATGATTGGTACCAATTTTTGTGAATTGAAGAAAAATGTTATTTCCATGGATATTTGATTTCTTGGACTAGCAAATTTTGTACTTCCTTGAAATAATTTGTGGTTCACCTGTACCCACAGAATTCACCAAAAAAATTGATATCCCATGAATTATAATGAATCCATAGTAACAAAAATCAGTTTAATAACTTCTGGTATAGACATGATGAAAACAAGTCTGGACAACTGTTCAATTTTCAAATGTCAATCAAGGAAGGATAAGAATGGATAACACTTATCTGCACCAATTAGTCCATATTCCAGTCCATGGTGACCTTTTATGATCTTATTACTTACGCTGTGACAGTAGGCACTTCATTCTTTAGATCTTGGAAGAATGGTAAATTCTTTCTGATGCCTTTAAGTGGATTATAGACTTCACTTGTTCTGAAAATACCAAACTCTGCAGGCAGTATTCTTCCTACTTCTGTAATACAAAAAAAAGAACATTTTAGCCAATGATTCTGACCAATAGAACAGAAAAACATGAAATACATTAACAATTGCAAGTTAATGAACAATAGTTCTTTTGGCCATTGTGAAGTTTTCTGGACCAGTTGCACCCAAAAATATTTTTAAAATCCATAACATGAAGGTAAAATCTACACATCCACATATGAATAATCCCATAAACTACACATCATTTCAAATCGGAAGATTGATTAAAGATCAACTTCATATCCACACACTTAATTATAATTATCACTATCAAAGAATTGTGAAAGACATTTGGTAGCATGTTGATCTTAAAATGCAAACCAAACATTTTGAAAAGACTTTCTGTATTGGAGCATGGCATTTGGTTCAATGGGTTTTTCTGATCAGCCCCTATAAAATAAGGTTTGTGTCAAACTGTCTGTAATTTACATCCATCAAATCTTAACTAGCAGCAAAGGTTCTACTATGGTAGAACAAACTGTCTTGAGTGATAGGAATTCTAAGCTTCAAGTTTCTCTGATATCAACAAATATTGGACACTGTTGGTAAACAGCACATACACACAGATTATGTCAACAGCATTTTTGTAGAAATTTTGCCCCCATTTACCAATGGTACCATACTTTGATAAGTATATGCTATATACCACAGACCAACAGAGCCAGTAGAATGACAATTCCAAGTTTAGCAACAAATACTTGGCATTGTATGATGGTCAACAGCAACTTTTTGTAGTATATGCCAATAGTAGTCAACACCACCTTTTTGTAGTACATGCCAATAGTAGTCAACACCACCTTTTTGTAGTAGACATGCCAACTAAAACTGTACACAACAAAATCAAGTAGCTTAATCACATCAAGTCCTCAATACTTCATGTCAGCAAATATTAGAGTAGATCTAATGTATTTTACAATACATGTTACATAAGCATGTGTCAGACACAGAATATACATTGCCAGATGTGAGCCATAATCAAAACTCTAACATCTTCCTGAAACACTTCAATCTGTTTACAATATCAAAATGGTAAACTAGTTATTCTCATCAACTGTTGGGTTCCTTCCTGCATTGTAATGAACATTTTCCAAATTTATTATAAATACTAAACCACCTAACATTTTACAGCTGGTTTTTCAAATGAAAAATGCCAAAATGGCATAACTACAGCAGTATACAACAGTCAAACATTAATGAACATACAACAGTCAAACTTTAATAGATATACATCAGTCAAACTTTAATGAATTTACATCGGTCAACTTGCAACAGTCAAACTTTAATGCATATACATCAGTCAAACTTTAATGGATATACATCAGTCAAACTTTAATAGATATACATCAGTCAAACTTTAATGGATACACATCAGTCAAACTTTAATAGATATACATCAGTCAAACATTAATGAATTTACATCGGTCAACTTGCAACAGTCAAACTTTAATGAATTTACATCGGTCAACTTGCAACAGTCAAACTTTAATGCATATACATCAGTCAAACTTTAATGGATACACATCAGTCAAACTTTAGTGAACAAACAAAAGTCAAACTTTAATGGACATACAACACTTGAACAGTCACATCTTATTGGTCATACAACAGTCAAACTTTAATGTTACTAATTATTCGTCCCAACTGCCAAAAACACAAGATTTTCTATTGAACAATTATTTTCTTGGACAGACGAACAATTTCAACAAGAATGCATTCAAATGACTAGAATTTATGTTTAAAAAATAAGATGTTTGTTACTTTAACTTCACAGCAAATTGATGAAACACTAAGCATTATCTTGCAAATTTGCAATTCAAGTACTTTAAAAGTCTTGTGGACCTATAAATGTTTATTTTGGATTATTGAATTATAACAGTGTATTGTAAAACCTATAGTGCACAAGGTGCATAATTACTGCACAACAATTTTAACCTGTCTACCCCAGTACAATCTGGCATAATGACCCATATTCTGCTAAATGTTTTTATCTTATGTTTATCTGTTCTATCAAAGTAATTTATCATTTGGAAAAAAATCTTTTCTTTCACATAAAAGAGATAGGTGGGTAAAGGGTCCTGACAAATTGGGCTATCGTCTGTCTTACCGTTTATCATTTTTCTGACCTTTTAAATCTTTTTATATCTTCTTTGTACTCGACCCTATTTTATATTTTCCATATATGATCTTAAATCTTTCATTGATATTCCAACACACATGAAAACAGGGATTTATGTGTCTACAATATACTTTACCATTGTCATGGGTTTAATGTTTACATTCATAAAAATCCATTTAATAGCCTGTTTTTAGCCTGTGGTCTGGTGGTTCATGTGAAAGTTATAAATGACAAAAGTATGAAAACATTTCACTTTTATCAGTGAACATTAGTCTTAAAAAAATTTGCCAAACAAGCATAAATCTCATTTTCTAAGCACAAAAAGACTTGTGACAATCGTTTGTTATTTTTCAAAAAAGTTATACAAAAACTGAAGTAGCTGCTTCCTCAGGATTACTGTAATCAAGTAGTCTGTCTCCCTAGTAGGTCATGTTTATGGCTGTGCAAGATACCAACTTAAATATGCAGCTACATTAAGTTGGAATCAGATCTATCAATCAAAAACAAGTAGTGTTTAGTTCACTTAATTGCTGTTGCAATACTTTAGGAGCAATCTATTAGACTGTCTGTTGAAAAAAAAATTGTCTAATCCTATTGATTTTTCTGATGGGAAATTTAAAAAAATCAAATTTATTATGAGGTCTTAGTAACCCTGGTCTAAACCTAAACATTTATCGAATACTTTCTATTCTTGAGTATGCAGATTCTTACAATTTGTTAAAAATTTAAATATTTTAGTGTCTTTAATCTATGTAGTTTTGACATTTACATAATATGCAACATTACAGCTGTTAGAGGAATTCAGTACAGCTCATATCATGAAATATTTAAACAATCTATGAAAACACTGAGAGGAGTTTTAGGAATAATCTCTCTTGAAAATGGCCGACATACAGCATCCAAACTCCATCCATTACACTCAGGTTGCTTTCAGTTTGCTTAAAAATGATTGCTGCATAAAAGCAATTTTAAATGGTTTCATTTTAGTTGTCAGAATACAAACGATACATCATATCCATCTAATTTTCCAAACTAATACAAAGATGAATATTTTCTAATAATTTTCTGGAATAAGTCAATATTTTCTTTCATCTTTTAATCAAATTTTGTTAAATTATTCACAACAAGTATATACCAGGAGGAGGATTTTTAACTACCTTGACTACCCATGAGGGTCTTGCACAGTCGGTTCAAGTATATGCAAGTCTATATACCATATAGCGGGTTATTTTCGCGGGGTGTAAATTTTCGCTTATTTTCGCGGATAGAACAAAATCGCCAAAATAAATTCCGCCAATTTAAAAGTGCACATGTAATGGTATTGATAAAAGATTTTAATCCGCCAAAATAATAACCGCAAAAATATTTTGTATACCTTATTCAATGAAAATCGCGAAATTTTACACCCGCGAAAATAACCCCCTATACGGTAGTATACTAATCAATATCATGACAAGCTGCAGGTTTATCTTAAATAAGGTGATGCCATAATTGCCAACTATCAACCACATAGACCTGCAGTACAAAAACAAATTTAAAACAGGTCTCTGTAAATGAGTCCTGAACAATAAGAAAAGACACATATCCTACAGAAAACCTTAAAAGGACCTGACTAAACCAAATGAAAAACTTTCAATAGAAACCTATTATACATTATACAAAACAGTATTATAATGAAAAACAAAAATACAAAAGTGATTACCGGTACTTGGGATAAAGCATGTCAAGTATGTGTTTTGTTTAACATGTTTGTTCATAAAGAAAGCTTTTTCCTACTATTAATACACAACTTTTTTCCAAAAATAACACCAGCTAGCTCAATTAAATTTTCAAAATATGGTGATTTAACTACTTAATGTGTAAACTGTGTGGTGTGGCTTTGCTTGTGAACCAAACTTAACCTTCAAAGTACAAAAAATATCCTTACTTTTAACATTAATACAAGTCAATTATTGAAATTGTCTAAATAAGGTTACAATTTAAAAGTGATTTTGTTCAGCAAAGAAACTATAAATCACTGTTAATGATATTTAAACTATTTATCATTGGAGTGAAGTTTTACAAGATATATACTAGTTAGTCAAGTTATAGACCCATTAATACTGGCTCTTGTATCTGATATTGCCAAGCAATCATACTGGGTGATGAATTTGACTTCAGCCGTCCAATTGCTGTGGGAATTTTCTGCTCAGTATAAAAATGTGCAATGATAAAAGCGATAACATAATATATACAATAGAGCAGGAAATAACAACTAAGACACAAACAACACTTTTCTATTGAGTCACTGAAATAATGTGTTAGATAACAAATGTAAAGCATAACTGCTTATTAGAAACTTTTTTAACCAGTATTTTTTCTTTCAGATGCCTTTTTTTATTAGTTCAGTCAAATCCAAATGAATTTTCAAGTTAATGGGTGTCTTTTACAATTAGTTTTTCCAGAGACTTGCCATTTAAATCTTTGGGTATTTGTTTAATTTTGTAGTTGTATCTCTTTTGGAATCCCAAGCTTTAAATATTTATAATCAAGCAATCACAAACATAACTGTCAAGCCAACTATTTTATTCTTCCATTTGATGTAAAAGTTCTGTTTTAATGTTTTGTTTCTTAGAAATTTTCATTTATAATTCAAGCCGGAACCATGCGTATAGGAATCACAACAAATTTACCTCAATTTTATAATGAAATTAGTGTTATGATCTAATGACTTAAGTATTGTACTGAATTATTAATATCAAGGATTTGTATAGTAAGATTTACTATACAAATCCTTGTTAATATCTTAATGCTGTGGCAAAATGACTCTAGCTAATATGGTTATCATAAGTATTTAATTTTTCATAAATTTCTATACCAGTATGTATATTTGA